GTAATGAAACAAGGTATATGATTTGTTGAATGTAAAACTGATGATCTGCCCTGTAAACTTTCACTCAATCCACAATAAAAACCTTAAAAAAAAAAAAAATGGAAGAAGAAAAAAAAAAGATTGGGTCTCTTTGCTCCCCTACAACAGTGGTACAATATGTGTAACAAAACATTTGCCATTTCAGTTATCCTCACATGTTCAATTTAGTGACATGAATTCTGTTTGTCATGTTGTTCAGCCATCACCCTTGGAACTGACCTCAGAGCAAACCCATGTTTACAGAGTAGAACTGCTCCATATGGTTTTCTAGGCAATAATATTTGCTTTTCTTCCATGAAGCGGATGAGTAGGTTCATACCTCCAACCTTTAGGTTAGCAGCCAGTCCCTTACCCGTTCCCAAATGATATCATCACCCTTAATAGCTCCGTGTCCCCTAATCACTGAGTCCTCCTTTCCTCCTCCACCCCACCTACCCCTGATAGCCACTAATAGATTTTGGTCTGTTTATACGTGCCTATTCTGGCTATTCCATACAAGTGGGATCTTACTATATTTGTCCTTTTGTGACTGACTTATTTCACCATAATATTTCACCATAATATTTCAAGTTTCATCCTTGTTTTAGCATGTATCGGGGCTTCATCTCTCTTTATTGCCGAGTCAACGGCATTTAACAGCAACACCACTTTGTATGCATATACCACATTTTGTTTATCCATTCATTTATTAATGGACATTTCCACCTTTTTAGCTCTTGTGACTAGTGCTGTACTGAACATTGGTTTACAAATATTTGGTTGAATCTGTACTTTCAAGTTTTTGGAGTACATATTGCTGCATCATATGGTAATTCTATTTTTTCAGAAACTGCCAAATCGTCTTCCACAATGGCTACACCATTTAATTTAAAGTATCCTTCATGCTATACCATGTATGTTGTTGTTGTTAAGTGCCATCGAGTCAGTTCCGACCCATAGCGACCCTGTATAGGGTTTCCGAGGAGCAGCTGGTGAGCTTGAACCGCCGACCTTGCAGTTCAAACAGCTTTGCAGTCTGGTGCATTAACCCACGCCCCACACCAGGACTCCATACTATGTATATTGAAGTTAAATTTTTTCTAAAAGAAAGAAAAAGCATGGCTGTCAGGTAT